GACTGGATCTGAATCCAGTAGAACAGCTTTGGGATGTTATAGAACAGGAGATTGACAGCATGAAAATGCAGTAAATATCTGCAGGAACTACATGATGTAATCATATCAACATGGAACAGAATCTCAAAGGAATGTTTCCAACTTCTAGTGGAATCTATGCCATGAATACCTGAGGCTGTTTTCAGAGCAAAGGGAGGCCCTACACAGTATTAGTATAGTGTTCCTAATAAAGTGCTTTGTCAGTGTAAACTACTATATTTGACTCAATATTTTCACAGTAGACCAGTAATATCTAGAATTTGCTGCAGAACTGTAACATAGCAAGTTTGCATGCTATGCCCATATTAATGTACAACCCATTCACACTATGGACAATACGGAAATGCCAATCTCTTTGGACTGGGGGAGGAAACCGGAGTAGACAGAGGAAACCTCACAGGGACAGCATGCAAACTCCATGCACACAGAGAGGAGGTGGGATTCGAGCCCCCAACCCCAGAGGTACAATTCAACCTTACAAACCACTAAACCACCATGCCTCCCAGAACAGATAACAATACAGAATAAAATGAGATAGCCTTAGATTATGTCCCTTCAAAGGCTCACCAAAAAGGTGATAAGGCCCAAGTAGAGTTTGACACCCTGCTGCAAAGTCACCAGAATAAGATTTAAACAGACTAAATTCTGCATGCATTAGAGAAAGAACATGGGGTGGGCGAGCGGAATTAAGCCCCTTTTCCAAAACCGACTCTTTTGCCTTGCAAGTAAAAATGCACACTGATTTCCTGCAAATTATAAATCACACTTATCTAATAGAAGGCAGAAGAGCCCAGAAGCCTCTATAATATATATTCGTGTGTGTGTGTGTGTGTGTGTGTGTGTGTGTGTATTTTTGCACACAATCGGTGTGTGAAGTTAAGCCACGGAAGTGGTGGTGTCATTAAGTGTAAGTACGTGATAAATGCACTCTGCTTGTCGGATTTGAGATTCTCATTAGTCTGTGTGCAAGAGCCAATAAGGGGCCATTATTCTTGTGCCACAGCTGACATGGGTAAGAAAGTGTGTGTGTGGTTATGTCTGAGAGAGAGAAAGAGAGGGGAAGAAAGAGAATGTGTGTGTGTGTGTGTGTGCATGCGTGCACGCATGGGAAGGCAGAGAGGAGATAAAGTATCCTGTGTATATAGAGAGAATTTGGACAGAGATAAAGAAAGAAATATAGCAGGACAGGTGGAGGTAAAGAGAGACATTCAGAGCAGTTTTCATCCTTCAGATTTTATAAAAGTATCAAAGACACATACACACACCCCCCCCCTAATGCCACCAACATAAATTTTTACAGACATTTCCATTAAAAACCTCTTATAGTTAATGTATCAAGAATTTTACCTTCAACGCCCCCCCACCCCACCCCCAGACACTGACACATATGCAAGCACACACGCTTCTAGCCTTTCTGAGACACTATTACACTCATACTGTTGTATCACACCGACCAACACAATTCTGAAATACGACTTTCCCCAGAGATTACGTAATGTGCATGGCCTTGTCTCGTTTTTTGGATATTTGGGAGTTTGGATATTTTTAAGCAACTGTTCATTCCTGTCATCAATGAAATATAAAAGAAAGCAAGACTCTGGGTCTCAAAAGAGTGGCATGAACAACAGATCAATGAGTCATAAAAAAAAAGGATAGGGTTGTTCGTGTGTTGTTTGTTTGTTGTAGAGGCTGATTTAAGTCCTTTGAAGAGGGGGTGTGCGGGAGAGCAGTACAGATGATGTGTTCTGATGCCCTCTCTGGTGCAGTAATGGGGACCTGGCTCCAATCAGTCTGTCTGGACCTCCCTCTCTTTTTGTCTCTCTCTCTCTCTCTCTCTCTCTCACACACACACACTACACAGGCAAAGTGGACACAGTGCATCTTGTCCGCCTGTGCTCTAGTGCACTCTCAAATCCTCACCTAGTCCTACAGAGGCAGTGCAGCATCCCTAATGATGACGGCCTCAGCAAATACAAATGTCACAGAGGTTACAGCACTTGAGTTCTTTATTTATAGCGTGTCTGAATTTAGATGGGTACTTGCGGAGTCCTGAGGGACGGCTGTCTCCTGCCAAACCTCAAGTAAAAGTATTTATTGTGTAATAGCGAGACTTTCACTGATTCAAGTACTGGACAGCATCAGACTGAACCATTTAAAATGCACTAATTGCTAACAATGTCTCTTACATTAATAATTCAATCTACTTTCATCTCCTCTGCAAAACAAAAAAAGCCACACAGGTAATCACATTAACTGATTAAAGGATGAATAAAGAAATATGATCAATCTTTCATCATCAGCAAGAGTATAAAAGCATTTGTAATCTGGGGAACATTGTAATTAATTTTTTTTCAAAAAACAAAAACAAAAAAGAACAACAAAAATAACTACAGGGTGTCCCAAAAGTCTCCGTACATAGGGGAAATGAACTTTCTTGTTTAGCAAAATGTCTTCCAAAATGTTTATATATACATTTTTCCCAGATAGACTTTAAGAATGCCTTTGCCAAAAGAAGAACATATTGAAATCATTCTCATGGCTGGATCGGGAAGCAATGGACTTTAACAGGAAACATCACACCCGACATTGTTGCCAAACTCATTATCAAATATAACAAGACTGGAAGTGTTGCTGACCAACCGAACATCCACGAACATTGACTGATGAAGGTACAACCGACGTGGTGCTGGCCAAACACGTGTATGGAGACTTCTGGGACACTCTATATATATTCTAACAATTGTGATAAATGGTAGATGTGGTCGGTTAAATTTAAGTTAAAAAAAAAAAAAATTTAAGCATGGTTTATGTAAAAATATTACATTTCCCATCAAAACATTTCATTGCTTATACTAAACGTCATTTAAGCAAGCTTTAAATTACAAGATTGAATTACATAAGGCGAGCGTGATCAATTCACATAGTATTAACATTAACCATTTACATTATGAAATCTTGTGGGGATGTTGGTACTCACAGGTGCTATATACTATAGTATTTAAATGAGCATGATTCAAATGTATGTGGTAGAACAGCGCAGTGGTATTGTGGCTGTTGCGGCATGCCAGCATCCTGGGTTTAATCCTTTGCTCAGGTGAGAGTGTGGAGTTTGATTGTATTCAGGGCACTGAAAATATATAATCAAATCACGTTGGATGCAGAAAAACAAATTATGTAAATGGCACTCAATTCAATGACGTGGAACCAATTAAATACATTTAATGAGCACCCCCCCCCCCAGTGTATATATTAAAATACCTGCACGTCCATATAAATAATAAATAACAAAACTCCAAAGAATGATAACATAAAAACATCTGTGATTTCTGTGAAGAAAAAAAACAAAACAAAACCACAGAAATAAGCAAGCTGAAATGTCCCGATCAACATCTGTGCTTTTTCACTCCAAAAGGTGTCACATGGTTCAGACTGAGTGCAAGCATCTCATAAGTTTGAAGCTGGCCTAAAAAATTGTGTTACCTGATGATGAAAGGAGAAGTAGTTATGGATGAAATATATACAGCTATCTGACATGGTTAGGAACTGACTCGGAAATTGTTGAGGGTTAACAAGGAAATATTTCTCATGGTCTACCTCGTCAACAGACATCTAGATAAATATCTATAATAGATATAGTAGAGTGTCCGTTGACCGCAATAAAAACGTGGCATAAGACAGTTGAGCGGTGAATAAAACAGGCTGTGTGCCTTTTTTTAAACTGTCCATGAGTATAATTACTGTACAAACACTTTACTATGAAACTACACGTTGCACAATCATGACATCTTTGTAGAGAATGATTCGAAATAAAGTTCACAGTGAAAGCGGGAGTGTGCGATTTCAATGGATTTCTACAGAATTCCCACTTCACCTTCACGCATGTAGAGATGACAAACAAGTACAGCGTGATGCGTGGGCTTGTTTTTTAAGCCTATTTTACACAAGAAGCAGCAATCACTCTGCAATGCTTTCCATTTTACAGGCGTGGTATGCGCCTGAATGATGCGAGGAGCATTCATTTCTGTGCTTTCCTGCATTGGTTTAGTAAATATAGTGTGTAAATGTCTACAGCTTTTTTATTTCTGGTTTCTAACTAGAAACCACACAGAATACAAAATTCATTCAACATTATGCAAAAAAAAAAAAAAAAAAGCAGTGATGAAGTGCTCAGTGATGAAGGTGTTTGATGTTCAAATACAGGAATAAAAAAAAACTTTGATATGTATGAGTTTAGAAACATTAACATTTGACACTCAAATCAAATCTTCAAAGAATTTTAGAAAAAAAATCATTAGTACTAGGAGTTTAGTACTTGGAGTCAATATAAGCCTCCACAATCATATGCTTCCATCAACTGCAGATAGCAGACATGCATTAAGCATGAAATGATGACTGTGAAGGAGTGTGAGTATTCCAGAGGAAAGAGGCAGGCATTTCGCTTAACTTCATCCTCCCAAACCAACTGATTTCTAAAATCCAGCTCCATGAATAATCTAATTTAAGCTTGAGGGCAATCAGTTTAGGGATATAAAAGAAGAACTAGCCTGTACAGGAAATAACTGCTAAGTAAAAGACAAGATTTCAACTCAGTCCTGAGTGGCTGGGAACATCATGTGGAACGTCTATATTTTTAACTGCTTTTCCACCGAAATTACCCGGAACAATTAGTCCCAGGAACTTTTTTCAAGGGACGATTTGGTTCCTCCAGACCTTTGTTGTCTGCATTTCCATCGCGGTCTAAAGTACATTGAAGATTAGGAAAATTAGTCGGATGACGTATGAGCGCGCGCGACAAGCCCTTGGCGAGGATATGAAGCCTCGAAGTATGCTACAATCAAACTGATTATTGACACAAAGTAAGCTGATTTTTTAAATGATGTAATAGCATAAAAACACGTAGCAGGCTCTGATGTGAACACAGACCTTTGAACATTAATAAAAGAGTTTGCTGCAACTAAAATGATGGTGTAGTGGTTAGGATTCAGCGCTCTCCCCGCTGTAGCCTGGGTTTGATTCCCGGTAACGGAGTTTCATTTATTCATTTTTTTTCTCTTTGGTTAAAGGTTCGTGTTTTCGAAACGGACAGTCTATTTTCTGGAATCTGATAACGACACTGCACAACAACAAGCATGGAGGAGATTCAATCTGTGCTGCTGTTGATTGTGATGTATTGCTTTGCTAAGGAGGTAATTGAGAAAACGCTGGAGAAAAGACGAGCAGTGGTAGTACAGAGAATTCAGAACGCTCGTAACGCCAGACTTAAAGAAAGCAAAAGGATTTAATCAGCTGTTGCTGAGACGACTGAGACGAACGTGCGCGCTCAAGCTTCTCTCTGCACTATGTTCCTGTGTGAACAACGCCCAGCTTGCTTAACCCACTTGGTAACTAGACTTTTTCATCCTCGGTATAAATAATTATTAAGGCCTGAACCTCGTCGTCAGTTAAGTCATCAGTTCATCTGTCGTATTTTTGAAGAAATGCCATTGTGTTGATTCCAATCGCAATAAACTACTATTACTGTACACACCACAACAGACTTTTTAAAATTGTGGTAAAAAATAAATGCTCGTTCAGCACGTTCAACGCTGAACTCCCACTCCCCAAAGTTCCTGGCTTTTGATAAAGTACCACCTCCCGAGGATTCCACTTTGCCAGGGCTAAAAATGTAGGCCCTGTTTACAGTTTTAGTGTGGAAGTGTCCAATATAAGAGGCAGTGCAAAAGATAGTTACCAAAGAGTAACAATACTAAAAATTTATAGCATTTAACAATGTTATAAAAGTGAACATAACATGCTATGACGTAGTCTTCAGCAGATTGGCTTATACCAAATATAGACAGTTATTGCAGTAGCAGCCAGGTAAAGTGTATAATAGTGACACAAAATGAAATTCTACATTATTATAAATATAATGCAGTCAATGCAGGAATGTGCAAATATTGCAATTGGAGTGGGATGGTGTTCAGTTCAGAGTGTGTGTGTGTGTGTGTGTGTGGTGTGTGTGTCAGTCCAGTCTCTGAGTATTGAGGAGTCTGATGGCTTGGGGGAAGAAGCTGTTACACCGTCTGGCCGTGAGGCCCCGAATGCTTCAGTACCTTTTACATTTTTATTTGATTAAGTCTTGAAAGTCTTTGGGGGGGATAAAAAAAAAAGACTGCAGTAGCTCAGCTCAATTTAAGCAGATGACTAAGGGATAATGTAAACATCCATTTTAAAAGAAAATTAATTGAACCGGTTCATGTTAGAAGATACGCCCTTATCTCAAGTTGAATAAAAGTACCACTCGTGCTTCAACAACTTTTATACTTTTGTAATATTTTTCCATATTGCCTGTTGGTATTTATACATCTCATTTCTGAGCTTCCATGAAGGGAATAAGTAGAAGCTGGTTTCAGGCTGTAGTCTTTCACCGGCAATATTCCATTATTCCAAATCAAACTCATAATGCAGCACCTTTGCAGTAGCTTCCACAATATCATGCCCACATTCAAACACAGGCTAGTTCATAAGTTATGGAAACCTAATCTACTTTGATCTTTCCAAAACTTGCACATCATTTTCTTTGGTATGGATCTTAATCAGAAGTAAACTTATAGCATATAACTGAAGTGTGGTTAGCTCTAAAAGTGAAAAGAGAAAATCGCATTTCGACTGCAGTGCAGGAGCACCGTGGACACAGAGTCAATATAGATTACAAACTTTGATTACGCTTATGTCCATTTTGTTGAACTAACAACTTGATTAAATCTCATTAAACTAATATGGTTTTAGACATCTTTAGGGAGTCTGAGACTGCGAGACTTTACCACCATGTTTGTTAAACTGGCTCAATAACCAACATGTTCTTTGTATCCCAACATAACGGTGTTTCCATGCTTTTTTTAGTGAAATATATTTACGATGTCTTAAAGTTTAGGTGTCAACTTCATTATTCTTGTCAACTTCATTATTCTTGTCTGTTGTAGACAATTACCACAAAAAAAAAAAAAAAAACTATGCGGAAAAAAAGAACTATTTCGGCCAAAACCTGCTGGTTCATCAACTTTTATTCCTTCATTCCCTCAGTAACTGCTTCATCCTGTGTGCAAGAAACGCACAAGAGTGCACACACCAGCATGTAGGAGACACATTTTAAAACAATTTTCAGGTTATCTCAGAAAAAGGGTCTCGTTCGTGCCACACTACTACTCTGCTTCTCTCGTTTCCCTCTTCAAGCCTGAGACTTGCATTTTGGGTAAAAGGAGGAGGAAGGCTCTGACTTGTGCAATAATCCCAAGCTTAAGGAGATGCAAATTTTGTCATTTTAAAGCAAAAGTAATAGCTGAAGGTTCACACACAGCTCTTAAACGTCAGATGTTGCCCTTTTTAAGCATTATCCCAGAAGTGTGGAGAAAATCTCAAAGTGAAAGACAAAAGGTAAATGAATTTGCACTGATTCACAAATAAGACAACACACCCACGTACCTAAACACGCACACGCACCCACATCTGTCTCCTCATGCCATTCTGAATGCCTGGAAGAGGGCTTGAAGTGATAAGATGTACTGACAGAATGGACCCCAGATCAGCTTTGGGTGAATCCCAGAGGATGCATCATATCTGCGGATCAATACCGCACTTAATGCGCTACCCGCTCGGAATATCAATGAGCCGTGGGAAAATGCTCTCGGTTTCTCATGGAGGATAGATACCAGCTAAAGTCCACAATTATCACCTAGACACACACACACAACGGCCTGATTTGCTTTTAGCATTCTATTTTTAATCTCAGAAAAACTTCTGTATTCCATTAGGACTGGGCTTAGTAGGACATTTTGCCTTCATGCTGTCTTAGACCTGTCTAAAAGCATCACTATTACAAGCACCAAGTAACTAGTCACCTTAACCCAGAATGTTTAAGTTCCTGAAGAAGAATGAAGCTCTTTACCAACTGCATACAAAACAAAATCACACTATCCTAGAAGAAATTGTGGGTCTGCCGCAAACGCATGGCAGGGATTTTCCGTGTTCAAAATAGGCATTTTTAGTGGTATAGGCATTTTTAGTGATATAGGCATTTTTAGTGATATAGGCATTTTTAGTGGTATAGTCATTTTTAATGGTGTAGGCATTTTTAGTGGTATAGTCATTTTTAATGGTGTAGGCATTTTTAGTGGTATAGTCATTTTTAATGGTGTAGGCATTTTTAGTGGTATAGGCATTTTTAGTGATATAGGAATTTTAGTGATAGGCATTTCTAGTGGTATAGGCATTTTAGTGGTATAGGCATTTTAGTGGTATAGGCATTTTTGGTCAAATGGGGGGTTTTGAACACCTTCTGTAACTAGCTGTATATTTAGTAAGAGAAACTCGAGATAAGAACGGCCACTAGGCAAATTTAGTGAGCAAGCTGAGCTACCAGTGTAAATGCAGGTTAAGAACTAGTTACCCTGTCCAGGCATGAATTAATGATCACAGCATGCATGTTAATATGAGGGTTACAGTTCACTGGTTGTGAGATACTGTATTCAGTGACAGTGCTAGTTTGTGTATTAAGGATTCTTCCTACAGGGCAGCCTGTGTGCTCCAATGCTCAGCCTGGCAGTGGGGCGAGAGCAATTTGTTCCAGGTTCATGGTGTTTCTCAGAGAGCAACAGAACTGGTGCTTTTCTAGGTTCCAGAAACCCTGTGGCTCTCTCAGAGACTGAGCACACAAACTTCACGATTCTCCCTCTGTGAGAGAAAATGACTGCAGCAGACAGACAAAGTCAAGGTTACGTTTGTATCTACTTCGTTGGTGTGTAATGCTCTGTATGTTAAAATCCATGACCATGAGGCTGGCCGTCAGTCACTACGACAGACAAGCATCTGAGATTGTATGTGTGTGTCGGTGCAATTTTGTGCATCAGGAGTTCAAATGCACAGTGTGTGTGTGTGTGTGTACACTATATTCCCTATTCCACCAGCAGCCTAGGCCCTAGGGAGCATGCTAACCTACTGAAGGACCGTACCATTCACAGCTCACAGCCACGTTACTCAACCACAGGTTTGGACAGTGGACAATGAGAGAACAGTGGGATGGTCTTAATAATAATTATTACCTGAGTGAAAAAATTAGTAACGTTGAAAAAACAAAAAACAACTGATATCCAGTGAGGATTGCTGGAAAGATATCAGCTAAATGAGCATGTGTATGTTACAGTAGTGAAGTAAAGGTGTTTTTTCATAAGTATTCTCCTCATATGCAGTCAGCTATAAATAAAATACATGTTCAGAGGGAAAAAAAACTCCACTTTGTGATGCATCACAGAATGTGAACACGAGATAAAACAAATCAGGTGACAGCTCTACTCACCCTCGAATAAGACAGACCCTCTTGCGCTAGCATCCACACATTCTACCCTAGGTGACTTGATGGTGTGTTGGTGTAGGGAACGCTTTTTTTTTTTTTTAGATTTAGATTTAGCTAGCTTGAGCTCACTTTTACTAAAATCTTACGCAAGCCTGAGATGTCATACCTCTTAGACCTGTGGCTACAGTACATACATCTACAGAAACAGAGGATAGCACAGTTGATTAAGATCATTCAGTAGTGTATGGAACGTGAGCCTGTATGCAGCATTGCAGGGCACAGCTCTACTGTACATGTGATGTAGATGGGCTGGAAAGCATCACATTTTCCCTAGCTCTCGGTGGTCACTAATGGCCCTTAAATCAAAACCGGGGTTTAGAGGACAAGAAGGGTTGAGCAAAGAAAGAACAGAAATTCACTGAATGTGAAGGCTGAATGTTAGTCCTTCTGCAATGAACTGGCATTTAAGAAGAAGAAGGAAAGAGAGGGAATGCAGACAACACAAGAGAAAAATAAAAGCTGACTCCATTAAAAAATATAAGAACAGAAAGAATATTCTCTAACTGTATGAGCTGTAACAATGGCATGTCATGTGTGAGCATACAACCATTAAACAACATACAAATTTACTTTTTGTTTGATTTGTTAAATCATGTGCTTGGAATTATAATCGATGAACCGACATTTATGTTAT